CCAAGTGCTGTTCGTTCCGGAGATACGCAAAAACCTGATTTCCGGTTCGTTGTTGAACAAGCATGGCTTTCGTATGGTTTTTGAGTCGGACAAATTAGTTTTGTCCAAGTCGGGAATGTATGTGGGCAAGGGATATGCATGTGATGGGCTGTTTAAGCTCAATGTAATAACTATTATTAATAATAATAATAAAATCCCTTCTGCTTACTTGCTTGAGTCTTCCAATGTGTGGCATGGTAGACTAGGACATGTTAATTTTAATTCTATACGTAGATTAATTAACATGGAACACATTCCTAAATTCACAATTGATGTGAAGCACAAATGTGATGTTTGTGTCGAGGCAAAACTAACGAAAACGTCTTTCAAATCGGTTGAAAGAAAAACGGAACCACTAGAATTAATTCATAGTGACGTTTGTGATTTTAAATCAATACAAACACGTGGCGGTAATAAATATTTTATTACTTTTATCGATGATAGCACTCGCTATAGCTATGTTTATTTGTTGAAAAATAAACATGAAGCAATCGATAAATTCATTCTTTATAAGAATGAAGTGGAAAACCAACTTAATCGACGGATTAAAACGGTTAGAAGTGATCGAGGTGGTGAGTATGAAGCACCAATTGGTGACTTTTGCGCTAGTGTGGGTATAGTACATGAACGTACCGCACCCTATTCACCTCAATCAAACGGTGTTGCCGAACGAAAGAATCGCACATTGAAAGATATGATGAATGCGATGCTAGTAAGTTCGGGCCTGCCACAAAATATGTGGGGCGAAGCAATCTTGACAAGCAATTACCTTTTAAATAAGGTTCCCCGGAAAAAATATGATAAAACTCCGTACGAGTTGTGGAAAGGCAGACGGCCTTCCTATCAATATTTAAAAGTGTGGGGGTGTCTTGCTAAGGTGCTTGTACCAACACCTAAGAAAATAAAAATAGGTCCAAAAACGGTGGACTGTATTTTTATTGGATATGCACAAAATAGTAGTGCTTATCGGTTTTTAGTGTACGATTCGAATAATCCGGACGTACATAAAAACACAATAATTGAGTCAAGGAATGCATCATTCTTTGAAGACGTATTTCCATGCAAGTCCAACGATGGACCTAGCACGTCAAAACGAACATTTGACGTAGCTATGGAAAATACTAGTGAGGGATCCGGTGAAGAACCCGAACCCCGACGTAGCAAACGTGCTAGAGTTGAAAAATCCTTCGGACCGGATTTTCTCACATACTTAATAGAATTCGATTCGAATATTCTAACTTGTATGGTAGAAAATGAACCGGATTTTCTAACATGTTTGGTAGAAAATGAGCCACGGACTTATACGGAAGCCGTAACATCTACCGAAGGACCAATGTGGAAAGAAGCCATCAAAAGTGAGGTGGATTCTATACTAAAAAATCACACATGGGAATTGGTTGATCTCCCTCCGGGATGTAAACCTTTGGGATCCAAGTGGATTTTTAAACGTAAAATGAAACCGGACGGTTCCATTGATAAGTATAAGGCCAGACTTGTAATAAAGGGATACAAGCAACGTGAAGGCCATGATTACTTTGACACGTATTCTCCTGTGACGAGAATAAACTCCATTAGGATGATACTAGCAATTGCCGCTTTGCGGAATTTGGAAGTTCATCAAATGGACGTAAAAACCGCTTTTCTAAATGGCGATATAGACGAAGAAATCTATATGGAACAACCTGAGGGTTTTCGTGTTCAAGGCCAAGAGAAGAAGGTTTGTAAATTAATTAAATCATTGTACGGATTGAAACAAGCCCCTAAACAGTGGCACGAAAAGTTCGATCATGCAATGTTAATTAATGGGTTTAAGATAAACGAAAGTGACAAATGCGTCTATGTGAAAAGCACGGTAGACGGCTATGTCATTTTATGTTTATACGTGGATGATATACTCATCGTGGGTAGCAATAATCTAATGATTAATTCTACCAAAAGCATGTTAAATTCTAAATTTGACATGAAGGATATGGGGCTGGCCGATTTAATCCTTGGGATTAAAATAATTAGAGGACCTGAGGGTCTGACGCTAAGCCAATCCCATTACGTTGATAAAATCCTTACTAAATTTAATAAGGATGATTATCAAGAGGCAAGGACGCCATTAGATAAAAACGTACACCTAACCAAAAATCGTGGAGAGTGTATTTCTCAAGTAGAATACGCTAGGATTATTGGCAGTTTAATGTATCTAATGAGTTGTACCAGGCCTGACATTGCCTTTGTGGTTAGTAAGCTAAGTAGATATACTAGCAACCCCGGTGATGAACACTGGAAGGCAATAGTAAGAGTTTTGAGGTATTTACGAAAAACCCAAAACCAAGGACTGCACTATGGAAGATATCCAGCTGTACTTGAAGGGTATAGCGACGCTAGTTGGATATCTGACATTAAGGACTCAAAGTCCACGAGTGGATATATTTTCACTTTGGCGGGTGCAGCCGTTTCATGGAAGTCCTCGAAACAAACGTTAATAGCTAGATCCACGATGGAATCTAAGCTAATAGCCTTGGATAAGTGCACTGAAGAGGCTGAATGGCTACGCCATTTTCTCGAGGATATTCCAAGTTGGGAGAAGCATGTCCCTCCAATATGCATACATTGCGATTGTCAAGCGGCAATTGGAAGGGCACAGAGCAATCTCTATAATGGTAAGTCTAGACACGTCCGTCGTAGACATAATACCATTAAACAACTTCTCACAACGGGTGTTATCACTGTTGACTACGTGAAGTCAAAGGATAACATAGCGGATCCGCTAACCAAGGCATTGGATAGAGAATTGTTGGAGAAGTTGTCACGAGGAATGGGATTAAAGCCCGTGAATTGAAAAGTTCTATAGTGGATACCCAACCTAGTTGGTCCTAGGTTCAAATGGGACAACTAAATTATAGAGCGAAGGATGGTCACTGTGGGGGTCCCGGACTCCTAGCCACTCCTCGTTGAAACAGTGACTCCCGCACGAGGTTAGCAAAAACGTTTGCTTTAATGATTCTAAAATGTTGATCTACTCGATAACATTGGAAGAGTATGCGGGATACTCGTGAAAGAATCACCTATGTGAGAGAGAAGAGGGCCGCTTCAAAGGAGAACTGTAAAGGCTCAGTTCTTTAGAAACTCTTGCAGAACCAGGACGGTGACCCATGGCCAAAACGGGCACACCCATGAGAACGGAACAAAGTTGGAAGGTTCTTGTGTAAAGATAAGTCAATGTTTACACGACGGCAGTATAGTTCAAAGACATCGAGTCTACTAGACAGCCAGTAAATAAACGTGTCTTTACAGCGGAAGGTTCAAAGGATTAAACCTACCTCTCCGCATGCAAGGATCATCCGGTGAACACAACGTGTCCTCCTATCTTCGTGTCATTTTTAAGTCTCGAAAATCAATTTTCATTCATGTGGGGGATTGTTGGAAAATGTGTTAGTATATTGCATTAAATGGTCATTTTGGGGCAATTTTTTGAGTGGGGTCCACTTCCGATTTGGGTCGGGTCAAAGTGGTTTCGGATTGTCCTTGTTAAGGGCTACAATTCGATACGTGGTACACTCAAAACGGATAACGGGTGAATGAAATATCGATTTTCGAAGTTTGCCCGTTGAAATGAGGTAGCAGCCGGCTGCTCTAGCAGCCCACTGCCGGCAGGATAGTCGGCAGCAGCCTGCTGCCGGCAGGACAGTCCGCAGCAGCCTGCTGCTGAGACGACTGCCGCAGCCCACTGCTGGGACGTTACAACTCCATAAATGCCCAACGTTCCTTTGCAATAAATGGACGGTTTTTTGGACTAGAATCAATGCCAACGTGCTGGACATTGATTACCAACGTTCATATCCATTAAACCTCCATTAAACACACAACAAATCTTCCCTATAAATGGCTGCAGGTGGTTTGCAACAATACACAACACACAATACGAACTTCACGTGTTTTCTAGCTCAAATACACCTCCAGTCACTCTGAAAAATTCCTAAGTGTTCTTACTTTGTTCACGTTCGTTGGAACTTTAGTTTGAGTGCTAAACTATTGTTCGTTAGTCATCGTATCCTGGGAAACGATCGTTGCAACGCTCCTAGCACCCCGGGAGGCAACGAATACGTTTTAAGGAAATCGTGCGTGGCACGAGCTTTGGCTTACTCTGCTTCATCTCATTTCTCGTTTTCCTTTAAGTCATTTTATTTAATTAATTTTATTAATTATTTTCTTAGTTTTTCGAAACACACCCAACACCTTCATTCTTTAAAAATTTAAGAGGAAGTTCGGTAATACTTAAGTCTTAAAATAATAATTTTTCATATAAAATGTGGATATGTAATAAGATAATAATACTGCGTACGGTTTGATTTTTTAATGTATATTGTTGGACTTTTTTCAAATTACCATTTCACACTATACCATAATCCGTATAAAAAATTTTGCGTGGAGATGAAGGAAACACTTTACATAAATTGTACTACGTACTTAGTACTATGTATAATGCAATGTACCAAAGGTCACATTTTTATTTTCCATGTGAAGTGGTCATTTCCGTGTAATTTATATGAAATCATTTTGTGTGTAAAGTTTGAATGTACAAACTACCAAACTGCTTGTCATAACATGATAAAAAATTAACGAGTAAATAGTTTACTATACTAAACTTTATAGCAATTATGTATTATTACATCCATCACATTGAATTTCACCAACTTTGAATTAAGTGAGAAATAAGAAAATTAAAATAAATGTGAATTTGGAGTTTGTGAAGATGGGCGAGAAATGAGAAGAACCGCAATTTATTTACTTCAATTGGAAAGAGATAATGGTTTTAAAACAAAAACAAAAAAAAAAGAAATTTGGTAAAATCCAACGAGATGTTAGGAGTAATTATTTCTGCTTTACTAAACCTTGACCATTTGGGATCTAATTTGCAATTTCCAGTTTTAGAACAAAAGCACAATTTTAAAAGCATAACACAATTTTGGGACGAAGCTTGCTTTTTTCCTTGGAGATGAATTTTCTTTTTGAACAATGTCAAAGGGAAAGAGCCCATTTATTCTTGCTTCAATAATAGGAGTGCTTATTTCATTATTTGACATTTTGACCATTACCCCCAGTTTGTAACTTTGTAAGAAGCAAATGCTCCATATGCTGGAGAGAAGAACTGAATCTGTATTTACATTTTACAATGCCCCAAGATTGAGGGGAGGGAGCAAGGAATGTACACACAGTAATCCTCTAAAAACCTAACAAGTTCATGAGCACACAAACACACAAACACACAGCCTAACAAACAGCTGAGGAGCATGATTTTATCAGTCCCAAGTTGTAGAGAAATTTCTCAGACCTAGACCTGAACAGATTCCCAAGAGAGAATTTGCCAGTTGGCTGTCGAGGTGGCGAGTTGGCATACACGTCATCCTTGACGCGGAGAACGGTTGAGCCTATTTCTTTCCTCACGGCCTCAATCGTTTCACTTTTAACAGGGCCTCCCGATGCATCGGTCACATAGAAAGAATTCACGGCTTTTAGTCCCCGCGTGGTAACCTCGGCTCGAGAAACCGATAGCCCGTTTTCCCTGAATATACGAGTTACGTCCGATAGGAGTCCAACCCGGTCTTCCATACACAGCTCCAGTCGTATCCCCTGCAATACAAAACAAAATGTTTCACAAAATGATGTTCTTTTTCAAGGAGGCAAACAGGTCCCAACATTAGTTTATGCGTAAAGATATATTTTGGTACCGATGAAGTTCGCCGCTTGATAGCTGCCTCCAAACAATGGATTAATCGTTGTCTTTCTGCTTCTGAGCTAATGGGACATCCATCTGTATGCCTAATGTAGTATTCCTAAACAAATCAACGGGAAAACACATAGATAACATTTAGGCTTTGTTTGGAATCCAGGAAATGAATGCAAAGGAAAACAGTGTCTTTGAAATTATAAAGAAAAATCAGTTCTGGTTATAACTTTTAAAAAGTTCACAAATATTTATTATCCTAGTATAATAGAAGTATATAAATAAAAATAAGTACCCAAAAACACAGTAAAAAGATTTATTGACTGGATATTTCCATTCCTATTGAGTTTCCGTCAAACTCTCTTTCCATACTAATTTAGACACATGGTGGTGCAAGCTACACAAAACCCACAGAACACCTGAAGGATATGATCCATCTGAAGTAAAAGCATCTATTATCAGGATATATCCTTAAATATTAATAGTTCAATACCCCTGGGACAAAAATGTAATTTTTAATATTAGGTCAATACCCCTGGCACAAACTCAATTACCGACAGTCAATTGGGATTAAGCCTATTAGTAACTGTGTTTATGAAATTTTTGTCCTAAAATAAAAATTTAACATTTTTGTCCAATGACTATTTGAACTTTTGAAGTAATATAAAAGTATTTATCCCTTTTATCTATTTAATTATTATTGCATTGGGGTAATGTTGTTGCTGTTGTTTAGTTATCTATTTATATTTTTTATTTATGGTATCTGAAAAAGAGCAACTAGAAAGAAGAAGATCGAAAGTGAACATATATTACCTGATACGCCTCTGGCCCTTCAGCAATGATAGTACCATGATACACAACATACTGCATATCAGTTAGTGTGCACACTGTATCAAACAACAGCTTGGGCCGGTCCGGACACCTCAAATTCACCAAGGTGTAACCTCTCTCTACACAATTCTCTACAGTCACAACCGGTTCACGCCCATTTCTTCCCACGTCATCGCCATTGTCTTCTTTGTCGTAATCACGATCGGCATACATTAATTGATGAAGCCTCCTCTCTTTATGTGTGGAACCAACAGACACTGCACTATTAGCACCCGTCCTGTCTCTATCCCCCATGAGAACATATAACAGGAGCTGCTTTATTTTAGATAACTTATCCTGATCATCTATTGCTGACCCGTTTTCTTCATCCGTAATATGTACGACGGAGGCCATTCTTGAATTATGGGTCCACACTTCAGCAGCTACTACGTTGCATTTATTATCAGTAAGAACAGCAAATATCTCTGAAAGCAAGCCCGGTCGGTCTCTTCCTGACAATTCAATTGTTGTGTGCTCAACTGCAGATTGAACACCAACAGATCTTGCCAATGACCGGAAGCTATAACTCCTTGGTCCTAACGACTGCAAACAATGATAAAAATTATATTCATTTTAAGACTTTGGGTTTCATCTTAAGAGAATATTTTAATCCTGAATGCATGTGTTCCTTATGGGCTTACGGCCAGCCAGTCACATATCTGGTCTGTACATATTTAATCGGCGCCTATATCATGCTTTCAGTTAGACTAATACACGCTAGAAAATTCATCTAATATGATGAATAACCCAATTTCGTATATTATACAGAGTATGTTAATTTGTTGTTTTATAGTAGTCAATATGCGAGACAAACTCTGCCAAGCTTTATTGTTCCATAATTTTTTGACACAAATCAATCCATATAGGTTTGAATCACATCCTAAATGGAGCTTCTTTCAGTACACACATAACACATTCCTTGCAAACGCTAAAAAACTGATCTGATATGCAGAACAATCCAATATCTTATACTATGTATGTTAGCATTTAGTAGAAATGAACAGAAAAAGAATTGCAGATTCACCTGCTGGATGCGCTCCACAACATTATTTTCAGTAAGCTTTTTCCCATACTGATCAGTAACATGAAACACTACAAAACAAGTTAAAGAATAAAACAAGCTGAGGTTTTTAAATAATAATAATAGTACCAAAGGGAAAGCTATAAAGCTTTAGGAATTTAGGATTTACCATCCATAAACCATTCTCCATCCGAAGAAATATAAGCACGGCGAATTATGTAGTTTAAATCAGTTAGAACTTGAGCCACCTCCAACAAGCTTCCCCTCTTGTTTGCACTATCAACCTGTTTTTTTTTTGCAAGAAGTCATTCAATTAAGACTTAGTCCCATCATTGGTTTATTTGCAATATCAAAATAAAGAATTAAGGTTTCCTAGTAGAAGATTAAAAAATAGCCTAAGAGTTTAGATATGTTTTCTAATTAACTGATATGGATAAACTTGGTATTCATAACAAAACATAAAGATGGAAACTTTTCCTCAAACAAACTTCAAACTTAAGAAATCCAGAAAAACATCAACATACCTTGATGAGAGTTGCTTTCTTGTCTGACAAATTATCAACAGTGACCCTATAACCAAGATTTTCACTCAATCACAATCACCAAAGGATAAAACAAAAAACCCAATTCAAGTCTCAAGATAACAAAGATTGAAAACCAATCTTTTCTATTAAAAAATCAATTTTTTTAAAAAAAACAAGAAAGTACAGAAAACAGTACCTTGGGGGATTCATCCGGAGCACAAGCTTCTCGAATTCATCATCAACGGTGACAGAAGAGGACCAATAATCCATAGCTGAATCTCAAAATCTATGGCTCCTTTCCACAGAAAGAGTGTTCTTGAAGGAGGAAGAGGTGTATGGCGAGGAAAGGGCCCGTTTTGTTGGTTAAAGCGGGGAGGGGAGAGGGTGGGGGGACAGCCAGTAGGTGTAAAGGCTGGCTATTGAGCTGTACCAAGCGTTTTGGGGTACAAGATTACAGCTTTCTCTCTTATATTAGCGAGAGAAACCATAAAAGTAATAAGCAAAAACGAATTAGGCTTTGATCAAATCTATGTGTGATTGAAGAAGAGGCAGGGAGGCAAGGCTGGCTACTGCTCCCACTACTACTGAACACACGTTGCTCCTGGGCTTTTGCCCTGTGGGGCCCACGCACGGGCCTGGACAAAAAATACCCACTTCCTCCCCTGCCTTTCTTGGCCTAATCATGGAACAGGTGTTCGGTCTGGTTGGATGGTGGGGGAGTGGGCGATGCGGGCGTGCGGTGGCTGGAGATTGAGATATGATGATGAGAAGCAGACTTACGCAATTAGAGTCCTCCTCTATTTTTATCTCTGGGATTATGGGGTTTATCATTTTAAATTGCGTTTATGTCGATATCTTTTTTGGTACACATCATATCTTCATTTGGTTATTTGAAAGTGACCTTACAGGGATGGTACATTTAAGGAAGCATTTTTTACGCACACAACTACAGCGAGCTTGAGACCAGGTGGAATTTGATACTCCCTATGTGTACATAAGCTATACACAAAATCTGTATATTGTCTGTATACACTGATAATTTGACATTAAGCTCTGCCCCTTTTTAAACAAATTACCGGTGTACACAGACAAATAGGGGGGTTTTGTGTACAATTTGTATACAACTTGTGTACACTAAGAATTTTCCATTTTATAATGAGTATTCTAATCAAATTTATAATGTTCTCAGTGTTAGATTGATTGATTTTGTACTTTATATAAAAATTATATTTAAATTATATACGGAGTATATTATTAATAAAAAAAGGTTATGAAGAAAAGGTTAAACTAATTATCTACAGTAACACCAGTGAATTTTGTCAGTTGACCGATAAGGGTGACAAGACAAAAGACAAGGACACCAAACCGATTATGAATCTCCTGAAGTTAATCAAATTCATTTTGGAACTGATTAAATATATCTTATTAATGGAATGAACTCAACAAAGAAAAAATTATACTCCCTCCGTCCCTAAATAAACTTCCAATTTTCCTTTTTCGTCTGTCCCAATTAAAACTTCCACTTTCCTTTTTTGGCCAGAATTTGTGGTTCACAGCAATTCTTACACATTTCTCTCTCTGCACAACTCTCCACCACACAATACCCACTATCTTAAACTCCGTGTCAAACCTATTTGGAAGACTACATATGTAAGAACAACTTCAATGGTCATTTCATTAACTTTAGTCAATTCTATCAGAAAAATAATTTTGAACACTCTTATTTTGATACTATAACAATTATGTCCAGAAAATAAAAAATTGTGTATTTGGTAAAAAAAATTGACAAATAATTCAAATATAAAATAAATAATAAATAAATAAATAAATAAATAAATAAATAAATAAATATGGTAAAACTAACCCTTATTTTCTATAAAAATCCGAATATTATGAACCCCAAGTATTTAAAATTTTAAATTGCTATTGGATTTTAGATTTTATAAAAAAATATTATGAAATAAATTTTTTGATAAATTATTTAAAGTTCAAGTCAAATTACAACACGATACATAACTATCCGTGACCTAAAAACCCCATCCACAAGTAATAATGTGTTACTATTATTAGAAAACGCAGCCTACTAATCATTACAGCCTACTAGTCATATCTTATTATCATAAGATATGTTTTAATTTTGATTTTAATATACTAGATAGAAGGTCTCAATTTAGATGAGCTACATCAATCATTAGAGAATGGTCTCAGTCCATCCATCTGTGATCCATTAATATCCTCAACTCGTTGATGTTCTACCGCAAATTCACGACTCCTCCCCAACTCGTAGGGTATGTTAGGATAATACGATATGTTTAAGATAGTGATATTTCGTTTTTGTTTGAGAGTATAAAAGAAGAATTTTCAAAACAGAAGTAAAATACGGAATACTGCTTCCCGTAACGTAAATATTTTCAATAAAATTTTATTAATACTGATATTTCGTAACATTAATATCTTCTTATTAATTAAATTTTTCCATCATATCCTCAATAATTTTAATAATACTACACTATTATTACACCTAGTTTTTTTTTATTATCCTTCATTCCATCACATTATCTCACTATTTTCTCATCATACCCCCAATAATACATATTTCCTTTCACTATTCTTTTTTGAAAAGTCTTTTCACTATTTCTAATCTACCTACTTTTCAAATGGGAACCTCCCAAGGTTAACCCTAAATATGAGTCATAATTTGTGATTTGACAAAAGTATACGTGTAAAGGTAGAATCATAATAAACCCGATCAACTTTTGCCGCCTCCGGTCTTCAGACGCCACCTCCGGACAGTTGCCGCCAAACTACCGCCGGATCCCGTGATTAAACAGGATTGGGGAAATTAAGAGCCCGTTTGGAGAACTCTGTTTTCGGCTTATCAGGCTTATCAGCCAGCTTTTTCACCAAACACGTAACTTTTACTTTCGCGCGCTGAATTGTGTAATAAGCCGAAAAAGTAAGGTTGGAGTTACTTTTCTGGCTGTATTGGCTGAAGTTACTGTAGAGGACCATTTTAGCTATTTTTACATATAATTTTTTCTTTAATTTATTAATAAAATATATTTTTAAAATATTTTTTTCTTAAATCAGCAGAATCAGCCAAAACAGCCACTCCAGCCAGAATATCATAAATTTCAGCAGAATCAGCCAAAACAGCCGATTTTGGTGCTACCAAACGGGCTCTAATTATGTTAAGGACATATAAGTAATGTTAAATCCAGAATATAAAGCTGATTTTGGAATAATCCTATAATCATCTAAAACGCTTAAATTGCTCAATTTTTAAGTCTTTAAATTGAGTTTTTTTAAGTATATATAAATAATATGATAATTTAGCCCAAAATATATAATTAAATCCGTGTTTTAGAAATGCACACACGGATTTAATTATATATTTTTTTTCAAATTTGTAAGACTCAAATAAGGAAAATGATTTCCTTCATCACTTCCCCTACAATCCATGTGAATTCACTAACATATGATAGTATTACAATTCTGAGCAACAACTAACATGTTCCAATCCTTATCTTATAGTCTTATAGGGTAGTTTGCTCTCTGAAATATGAAATCTCTAACATTTCAAGAGTCAACTATAAGTATAAGACAAAAACATTTCAATAAAGTTATGAGGATATTAGAATGAGTAATTATCATGTGACACCGTAACTCTCCGTAAGACATTCATATTATGATGCAAAATTTATCATATGGTCCTAATTCATTGAATATATGCCACAATTATATGTTTTCCTAGGATATCCGAAATTGATGCCTAGTACATCACCTTAACTTATTCAAGACCGACTTAATTAAGAACTCAAACAAGTATAAACCCTTCCTTCATATTGTCCGCACTTTTGTTGTAGCAATCCCTTTTGTATCTGTGTATCATGTCTTTTTTAGCCATACCACTTATTAACGTAAATATAGCTGTCACGTTCTTCCTTACCAAAACGTTTTAATAGTCCTCACTCGATCGGATTGATATAAAAATTGGGTTTTGTAATTGTCAAATAATGAAGCTCATCACTATTTCGCAATAGTGGTGTAACATCTTAACTTTATTGTTTTATTCATTACTCTTTTCTCTTTTTTTAACTCCAAGGAGCGTCTGGGAGGGGCCTAAAGTAAATTGGGCTGAAACTAATTCTATTGAGTTTTGAACCCGACATCTCCCATAAGAGAGAGTGAGTCGGCGACCAGCTGAGCTGGACCGCTTCCTCGTTTTATTCATTACTCTATCAAATGATTGAAGTATTTAAAAGAAGGAACGACGGTTACTCCTAAAGTCCTACATGTTGTGATGACAAAAATATACTCTCTCCGTCTCATAAAATTATTTCCAGTTTAATTTGAATTAGAGTTTAAGAAAGTTGAAGTAAAGGAGAAAAATATGATTTTTGTTGAGTGAGAATGAGGTAAATGAATGATAGTAACGCAAAACTTTTCAAAATGAGAAACCGAAAGATTTTTTTCGAAAGTTTCAAAAGAAATGTGTGAAGAATTTTAAGGGACTGATGGAGTACTAGTTTTATTTCCTTAAAACGTTAATAAACAATTTAATATTCTTAAATCTATTCAAATTTCATCTTCTACGCTTAGTTACCAAAAAGTTTGTGGTTCGGCGTGTCTTCGTATTTCATTATTTTTACCATAGTATATATTTCCTTTTCCCTTGATTTATATGGCTAAGGAGGTTTTTACTTGGACTGTAATTTGCTGGTGTGATCTGATCTGGTCTGATCTGGTCTGATCTGGTCTGGTTTGGATTTTTTGTATTTTTATAACTATCCAAGTCTGGCCTGGTCTGGTCCTGTCTGGGACGAATTAAAAAACATCCTAAATCAAATCTCACACATCTATTTGGCTTTCCGTATCTTAGCTTATGAGAGTATTCCATCATGTGCATTCAATGTTTTTAGTGGTTTAGACAACCCCAAATAAGAGTTATATGAATAAGACCAAATCAGATTAGACTTTAACAATTATAAAATACACACAGACCAAACAGTTATCAACGATCACACCAGACTAAAGCAGAGCAAACTAGAAAATTTAAGTACATTTACCAAAGACCATACCAGACCCAAATATATCCAACAACAAAATTTGAGTACACTTAAAAACATCCATTGTCACGCGTTTTCTCCAAATTTGTAAAATTAACGTGTAAATCCTTATTTCTAACAAAAATGATGTTTGTACTCACTTTTATACTCACTTTTATATTCATCCATGTTTGTGAAAGTTTTTTTTGTCTATGAGTTCCGTTCACAGATAATATTTTGTTTGTGCAAAATTTGCATAGACAAAATAACACATATTTTGTCTGTGAATCGGATTCAGACAAAAAAAACCCTTCACAAACATAATAGGTATAAAGTGGGCACAGAGTTGTTATTTCTAACCGGGCAGTATGCCGGTATCTTGAGTTGCTTTAAGACTGAAGAGACAAATCTCATCCACGGTTGAGTATAAGAATAAATCTTTGAAACTTTTCCCTCGATCATTAACCTTTTAATACGGAGTAATACACATCATTAACCTTTTACAGCTACTTTCACTTGCAACTTTGACACTATGTGGTATGACTTGATTTAGTGCATAGCACGTGGCTCTCACTATACATTTTTAAGGACAAGCGTCACAAGTGTATTATCCGCACAAAACAATGTTACTCGTACATAATTAGAGCCATTTTAATACTCTATTTATGTTTCATTTTAATCTTTACATTTTTTTCTTTTTGAAACGTCTCATTTAAATCGTCTCATTTAAATCTTTATTTTTTGCAT